AACACTGTATAGGAAACTCCTGAGCTGAGCTGAGGAAAGCGATTACATATATTCCTACTCCAACACTGTATAGGGAACTCTTCTGAGCTCAGCTGAGGAAAGCGGGCATATATTCCTACTCCAACACTGTATAGGAAACTCTTCTGAGCTCAGCTGAGGAAAGCGGGCATATATTCCTACTCCAACACTGTATAGGAAACTCTTCTGAGCTCAGCTGAGGAAAGCGAGCATATATTCCTACTCCAACACTGTATAGGGAACTCTTCTGAGCTCAGCTGAGGAAAGCGAGCATATATTCCTACTCCAACATTGTATAGGAAACTCTTGAGCTCAGCTGAGGAAAGAAAACATATATTCCTACTCCAACACTGTATGGAAACTCTTCTGAGCTCAGTTGAGGAAAGCAAACATATATTCCTACTCCAACACTGTATAGGAAACTCTTCTGAGCTCAGCTGAAGAAAGCGAACATATATTACTTAAGCACTGCTCTAGTTATTTGCGCTCTGAGGATTGTTACTGTAGTTGATTAACCAATCTCGATGTCCTCAAACTACGTCCGAGGCCGATCGAAAGCCTTCGGGCAGCTCATGGGGGCGCGGCACTACTGTAAACTATGTAACTGCTGGTAAGTAGTGTGAGAATATATGCACATGGTCAACTACATGTGTTGGTGAAAATGTGGAAATTTTGGGAAATTTTTGTCTTGGTACACTTCTACCGAAAATTGTGTGAATTTTCACACTTTAGTCGAAAAGACTACTCGAGCTCAGTTGAGGAAAGCAAATATATATTCCTACAGTGAAATTTGTTATCATAAACTTATCAGGTGCGCTCTGCATCCCAATGCTATCAAAATGCATGAGCGGAGCGAAAGGCATTTGGCAAACGTTGAAAGGGAAATAAGAAGACAACGACAAACTGAAGTGGATACGCAGAGGAACGAGGCTGAGGTGGCCAAGCAGATTGCTAAGATGAATGCCGCAGCAATGTCAGCAATGGAAAAGGATGCGGGGTAAGGGAAGGAAACATAGTGATGATTGGACTTTCCTGGTAGGTTGTTCGATCCACGTCGGAGGGTAACTGAGCTGCCACAACCTGACATAAGTCGACCGGCTGTGCTCAGCAACTCGAGGAGTAGCAGTAGTTCCATTCCGTTATCTAAGGAGGAAGAGGAGCCGATTCCCTCGGGGCCACCAGCATTACTACCACCCCTCCCGTTGGCACTACAGAGGCCACCTCCTCCTCCACCTTCGGGCACTGTAGCCATGCCACCTCCAGCTAAGCCGGCTATGCCTACTCCTGCTGTGCGGCCAGTTATGAGGGCCGAGCCTGTGTATATTCCTCAAATGCCGCGGATCGTCATTCCTGCTAAACCAGTGGAGGAGAAGCAAGAGGAGAAGAAGCCACTAGTAAGCTCATTTTTGTTTGATTATTTATAGTGTGAAGCAAACAGTTATGCATATCTAGATTTTTTTTCAATTTGAGAGTATGAATATAGACTACGGAACGCTTCTAAAACGTTGGTGTCAATCGATTCACATTGTTATCAAAGTTGACTTTCGAACTCTCGAAAATTGAAGGCGTTGAGAATATTACTTTGCATAACGGTTTGGTTCACACTGTATATATTATTCATCGCTGATACCCTTCAATTCTCGGGAGTTCGAAAGTCAAACTCTGATGGGTCGACAAGTATTGAATTTACCAGTACGATGTTAGTGGTGCTTATGAACGCTATCGATCGAGCCGCGTAAAAGGCATTTTATTTTCTCCTCAAATATACTCGTCATTTTTCCTGAAAGTGAAATCGAACATTTTTGCAGAAAAACTTTCCCTCAGGAATTTATACAAAAGGATGACGAGCAACCCTCATCAGCATTGATGAGTGCGTGGGACGAGACTAAAGTGGCGGCAGCAAGAGCTAACTCTTCGAATGAGCCCAAGATTGATGCTACTACTGGTCTGGGAACGTGGCAAGCTGTTGGTCGGTGCGGATAGCTCTCTTAAGGTGAACTATGGTGTGTGTGTAGACTCGACTCACAGTGCCTTTGGTGACGCAATGGTGACACGGAAGAGGAAACCACATGGTTTTGGAGAGGACATTGACGCTGATGGTGAGGGATCGGCTGAGTATTTCATAAGGAGTTTCGTGCGGAATTACAAAATCTAGCTATGTTTTGGTGGTATAATACTTAGTATAGATACGACATGAGAGCTTATGAGTAGCAGAGAGAGAATTTATACCGAAAATTTAATGTTGGAGTATATGTTCGGTTTTCTCAGCTGAGCTCGGGAGTTTCCAAAGCTACAATGTAAAAGTTCGCACCAGACTTGAGATGGAAGTGAACGAAAACCAACGATAATTTTGCTCAGAATTTCTCAGCAAATTCGGCGTATATTCGTATATTTTCCTAATAACAGAATCACGCTTAGTAATATTTGTTCAAATGGAAGATTTTCATCGAATGCATCTTCTCATCAACTGTCTCAGCTGAGAATCACCCAATGAAATTGAAGATAGATTCATTACATAAATCGGTCTTCAATTTGCACTAGTGTTGCATTTAAATTCAATCCTCTCGTGCTCGTCGAGTCGTACAATTTTACAGACATATTATTTTATAAAATATTGAAAAAATACTAGACAATAATAATATTGAAAATAATGCAATTTGACATAGTCTTTTTCTTTAGAAAACACTTCTCGAGCAGAGGGAGCTCTCGCTGAAGATGAGGGTGGCCATGGTGCATACAACGAGGATGAGCTTTTCCTCGGGGATCTTGCGAAGTCATCTAAATTCCTTGCGGAATCGGAGGAATGTGAAGAACAGAAGTATCGAGATCACAGGAGTCTGTGGTGTGGACTATGTTGTTGTTGTTTTTTAGGCGAGAAGTATTAGCCGTTGATGTTGGGTCTTCAATTGGCAATAAGCATGCTACTAGTGTTAGCAGTACACTTGGGGCGGCTCGTAAGCAACGAGATAAGAGACGACGACGGCGTACAACCGATGACGATGATTAAACGTTCTTCTATGCTATGCAAGTTGAGTGCTTACGAGAGGGGGTGGTCAATTGGAGGTGCCAGTTGGAGATATCATTTCGATACGGCCAACGTGTCCAGTGTACGTTAACACTGTAAGACTAATAGTCCGATCCTACGTCGCCAGTGGCGAGCGAGATTCTTCATGCCGTGTTTGTTGACCCGTATTGTCGCTTTTTTAATTCCGAGTGGTATTAATATCCGTATCATGTAGAGAGATGCAGCAGCTGAGGAGGTGCCAACAGTAGCGCAGTAGTGGGACAGCTAATTGTGTAGGAAAAGAAGACTGCCAGTGTTTTCATGAGGATCGGTACATGATTTCGTATGTAGTACGAAAATTACGGAAGATTAAGGGAAAAAAGGCGCAAAAAAACTACCCAGGCAATGGAATGGGAAATATAACGAGAAATCTGATGCGAAAATTACGGGAAAATTCGACGGAAAAAGCGAGAAAGCTGAGTTGCGCAATGGGTGGTATAACGAAAAAACTGAAGTAAGAAAATTACTGACAATTTAGCGGAAAAAATGCCGAGAAATTCCCATGGCTCGCGAAATAGCCAATATTAAAAACTGAACATCACGAAAAAATACTGTTAGGATTAGATAACCCAACAA